ACACACACACACACACATTGATTTGCTTCATGTTTTGACTACTGCTATGGCCAGCTGCAAAGCTGGCACCAGAGGGCTAGCCCAACCGGGGTGATATAAGGTATAGGCCTGGTGGGTTCAGGGTCTTTCACCTTACATCTGCTTGCGTGCAGGTTGGAGGTGCAAGATGCCCGAGTGTGTAATGTTTATTTTTGCCTGTGTTCATGGAATAAATCAACACTGTTTTGTAGTTACTTGGACTGTTTCGTCTCTCAGAGTCAGTATGGTAAAAAGTACCAGGTACAACAGATGTCACCTTGGATTTTTGGGAAACTTTGGAGAATTACACAACATTTAGTGTTACAGGTAAATGATTGATCAACACACTGGTTGACTTTTGATAGTGTTTTGGTTGTTTAACATTTGAGACTTTCCTAAAATGTATAGCTTTATCAGTATTATGTGGAGCAGCAGCTGATCCAGTATAGGGCTACAAGCTGTGATCATTTCCATGACCAATTAATCCACCTAAAATATTTTCACTTAATCTTTTTGACTATAAAATATCTTCGGATGGGTTGTTTTGTCTGACCAGCACTCAAACCTTTTTTCTATTAGACAGTTTACTGTAAAGTGAGACAAAAACAAAATCAGCACATTTTTACTGGAGAAGCTAGACAGACAACAGTTAGCAGTTTTAGTACAAATAGTTGCAGATTTAACTGCAGACTGTCAGTCAATAATACCCAATTAAATGTGCCAAAGACTGGGAGAGCATTCATATGAAAGCTCAGTATACAAGTTAAATGATGTTTACCCATTATTTGACCCCAGAGAGGGGGGTGTCTGGCTGTGCTGTCATTAATCTTCAGAGCCCCACAGTAAGCAACACCATTTTCCAGACCTAACCTGCCGTGAACACAAAGCATCCCAAACCCTGTCCTCACCCAGGTAAAGAGCAGACATGTGGCTCGACACGCAGCGTCTGCATTGGATTTGCTCAGGTTAAGCAGTGGCTGGTCCAGCTGGCTTGTAGTGGCGATCGCCTCTGAGAGCCGGGTCCACTCAGTTGTCCAACCCCTGACACTATCTAACAAAAGACTATTAACAACTGCATCGAGTCTGTAGCTGTATTATCACCAGCACCAGTTCTGTGTGGGTGTAGGAATGAAGGCAGGTCTACAGGGTCATCAGCTGGGTGCCTTTTCATTAACTGGTGTTTCACCAAGTTCGGCACATGACACCGAGAAGGCTCAGTGTGTTCCAGTGTCCCAGAACCAGCCCCCTCTTTGCCTGCACCCACACACCCAACACAACCCTTCGTCTGCTCAGGCAAATTCAGGCCAACTGTTAGCTAACAGTCACTAGCCCTAGCAAACATTTCAACTGCTGTTCTAGCCACCAAACATTTAAAATGAAGTCTTCCGGTACTTTTTACCATGCTAACTCAGAGACGAGGCAGTCCAAGTAGCTTCAATACAGTGCTGATTTATTCAAAGAACACAGGTAAAAATTAACATTATACGCTCGGGTATTTTCCACCTCCAACCTGCACGCAGGCAGATGAAAGATGAAAAGACCCTGAATTCTCACACGACTTCTAGTAACATGTCGTGACTTAAACATAAGAACATATTATGGCTAAGGCTACTCTACACGTCATAATAATAATATTAAACATCCAGTCTGCTGACAGTCATCAACTCTTCTCTGTAGTTATCCTTGACCATATGTACCCTGTAGAAACTCATAAGCATGACTAAGCATTTAACAGTCTAACTAGACATCCTATCTCCACTAAACATTTCTAATACATAAAGTACCTAACCAATATCTATTTGACAAAAAATATCTAACAAAAATAACTCACCAGACAACTCATCAGACTTCTGCTTCCTTTTATACTGCAACAGAAACCACAGTGTATTAGTGTTCATCCCAACAAACCAGTCAAACTTCTACTATTCCATCATGTTGGCTTCCTCATGCTAACACCAGGAAGTAGGCCTCAAACCCGTTGCATGTAAAACACTTACTAAGCCTGTGCTCCTGCACTAGTTTACTTTATCTTAACAGGCCTAATCCTCACATGTTGCCATTTATGAATCACTTACCTATTTTTTATTATTTATTTATTTTTATTTTTTTTTTTTAACCCCATTCACACACCTTTTTTCTGTTATCAGGCAGATTCCTAGTTACCTGTCTTAGGCTCCGCCCTTTTATACCTAACTCATCTAGTAGAGCGCAGAACCTAGCAGCTGACTTGGCTAATCTGTTATTTGACAAAGTAGTGTAGCCCTACATATTATGACACACACCTCATTTTCCATCTTGTGCTATTGTAAAAATTGCGTGCATCTTATTCTGAAGCACGTAAACTTATTTTGAAGCAAGTTGTTTGTGGTGTTAAAAACTGGTGTCAGATATTCTAACATGGTCTGCAGAATTCATACTTGTTGCTGTTTTTAAATGTCTGTTTTCCTGGCAGAGACGATGGACGAGGAGAAGAGCCGAGACGTCCTGGTAGTCATGCTTCTCCTCGCCATGAGTTTGCCCAACGGTGGGAGCTCGGTCAGGTCGGATTGCAGCATCTCAACCACAGAGATGACCGATGCCACGCATGTACTGTCAAGTGTGGTGGATCAACAGAGAGCAGAGCAGAGCCAGAGACATCACCTGGAGGCTCTGTTCAACAGGTGAGCTCCTGAGACGACAGCCCCTCACATGCTGATATTTTCATGCTTTGTTTTTGTCACACTTACAGTTTTTATCACAGTAAACTAGCCATTTGGATGTATATTTTGTGATTTTACACTCTATTAACAGTCATGCATTGCAGTAGTGCGTGCATCATGCAGCTCAATGAAACAGGTGGTCTTGGGATTTTTCTAGTGATGCACCGAAATGAAAATTGTGGGCCGAAACCGAAACCGAAAATTTAGGATGCATTTGTCCGAAAACCGAAACGAAACCGAAAATGGCTTCTTTTAAAAACTTCAAATTTTTAAAACTCGCTTTCTCTATAATTGTGTGTGTGTGTGTGTGTGTGTGTGTATATATATATA